CTCTTTACAAGGTCGGTGATTGTCTCGAGTGGGTTCATCGCGAGATGGAGGTAAAAATTTGTTCGTCTTTTAGTCCGGTTTTTTTGGTTTTTGGCAATTCCTTTAACTAAAGCACATTTTGGTACATACGAATTGTATTTGTTTAGGTATATCCAATTTGGCTGTGCCCACACAGAATTTACAAGCTGCCAGTGAGACCAATGATCTACCCTGAACCAGGATTCGAGAAACACAAAAGGCAGGGTGACACCGAATATGCACAAATGTATACTGATGTTGGTGTGTACTATGTTCCGGGAGCAGTCCTGAGGGGTGAGCCGTTTGATGGTTCAGAGAAATGCCGACAACTTGAGCTTTGGTTGATAGAGAACCATGGATTTCAGGCTCAATACGCGGTGACTGAGCTGACAGAGAAGAATTTCTGGAGGATGTTTGATAACGGTCTGTACGAGCAATGCAGAAGGAAGTACAAAGCTATCGGAACGTTCATGAGTGTGTACTATAAATCGAAGAAAGGAAGGAAGACAGAGAAGGAAGTGCAGGAAGCTGAGCAAGAGAAAGCTGAACAAGAGACTCCTGAAGCAAATTGATTCCGAAGAATAGTAGAATTTCTATGACTTTTTTTTTTTTTATTTTTTATGATCGTCTGTTTAGTTGGTTTCTAGTATGAATTTTCGCCTTTTAAATAAGCAGCTACATTGAACAAGTATTTTACTAGTAGTAAGGTCTGCTTGCCTGTTCCAAATTCAAAAAATGTTTCAAATAATAATGGCTAGTGCAGTTCAAAACTCTCAAGTTTCATTTCTTTATATATACATACTGCTTTTTTTTTTCAAGACATTTCTGCCTCATGAAATTTGAAAAGAATTAAGATGCAGGAAGTTGTGTTTAGTCATAATTACAAATTATGATATTTTTCGAAATTTTATAGCTAAACATGATTTTTGAAATTTAATTTCGAAAAAAGTAATATATATTTATGGCCAAATGAACCTCAACATAACATGAATAAATAATGAATTATAAGAAATAAGGTATACATTAGTTTTGTGTATAAACGATACTTTGTCGGGTATAAATTTTTTTGGACAAAGGACAAAAATCACATACTTTTAAGGTAAAATTACAATTTGTCACTTATAAGTTTATAATTATAAAAATTTCTCAAACTCATACAATAATATAAGCGCGGATATATTAATTTGATGTGCGAGATACATTAATCGTTAAGTAAGATATATTATATTTTATAGATGATACACTAATCTAATGTACATTTTATACGTGATACACTAATCTGATGCGTGAGATATATTAATTTAAAGCGCTGATTTATTAATCTGATGCGTGAAAATGAGGAATTTTAGAAATTCGTAAAACTAATACAGGATAATGGTAAAAGACAAATTATATTAGTAATACAAGAGGGATTTAATGCATTAGCATGATTAAAAAGTCAATTGACCCTCAAAATATTTTTTACATCTTTTTCGCAATGGTTGTGAAAGGTTTTAAACAAATATTTCTTTGAAATTACTTCTTTTCCTTTCTTTCTGTGCTATCCCGTGAACTGTCAGTATCGAGACAAGTTCAGAATATTGCTCTGAGCGTAGACTAGTCTGCTCAAGCAGTCACAAATTATGAAATGTCGTCTATTTTAATATGTAAAACTAAATAATGAATAAAAAATAATTTGTATATATTAATACGAGTATTATTAATACATTCTATTTAATATTGTTCCTATACATCCTCTCAAATGACTATTGAATGAGACCCTTAACTAGGGATGGTTATACGGGACCAGTTTAGCTTAACCCGCAAATTTTTTTATTTACTTCATCCACATAACAACTTTTTTCATTTTCAACCTACCCCGCCATGCCTCACCCCACCTAATAATTTTTTCATTTTCAACCCGCTTCACCGCACATAACAATCTTTTTCGTTTTCAACCCGTCCCAACCTGACCGCATAGAGCGGCCCCCATAATTTTTTAAATATTTTTTTCTAGTTAAGTTTGATACTAAAAATGAATTCATTTTTTAATTAAATTGTATTAATTTAAAGGACAATGACTTAGAAATTTATTTTTAGAGGTCAATTAGAAACATGTAAAAGATTGAATTATTTTTTATTAAACCATTTTCATTTACTATAGCTTTAAAGAAATCATCTTAAGAAATAATGCTCTATCACAATAATAACATGTACAGAGTTAAAATAAAATACGAACTCACGTAAAAACACACATACCCTAACCTGCAACCCATCCCATTCCGCCCTACATTATTTTTTTTTAAAAAAACCACTCCGCGTCCCTCCCACCCCACTCAACCTTAAACTCACCCCATCCCGCGTCCGCGCCACCTCATTTCCATCCCTACCCTTGACCCACCAATCAAACATATATTCCATGTTTTTTTTAAAAAAAAACTAAAGAAAAAAGTAGCCGTTAGAAAAGTAGAACGTTATGCCTAACGTTACAATCCCACCTATAAAAAACAATATTCTCTACATACTCCATTTATTTATTAAAAGCATAGCAAAGCAAAGAAATTAGGATAATAAGAGATATGGGTATGGTGGTTGTTATTTCTCTTCCATTTATACTTTTCACAATTCTTATTGGATTTGGATGTTTTTTCTTTGGAAGAGCTAAAGGTAGACAAGATATCAAAACCAATCCCCAAGTCTTTGGGGTACCCACCCCACCACCTGGTGCACCTCTTTCTTCAACTCATGAATTCAAACTGCAAGACAATACTTCAAATGTGTAACATTGGGGGTGGATTCATTCTACTTGTGCAAACATGAATAGTGTGAATGATATATATTTTTTTTGTTAAGATTCTCGTATATTCTTTATTTTTTTGAATTTCAATTGTGAGAGTCAGTGGAGATGACCTATACTGAGTATGTTGTTAATTATTGTTGTTGTTGTTAAAGTTGTATTACGAATCGGTGATTAAAGTATGTTTTGATCATATTTTGGTAATGAAATTGTATCAATTGAGTGCAAACTCCCTCTTATATTACTTTATATTTATTTATGTGACAATAATTTTGAATACGAAATGTCAAATTGAGTGAACTTCAATAGTGAATGTTCAATTTTTTAATTTTTATAATTATTCATGTATTTACAATTGTTTCTTCAATAGTGAATGTTCAATTTTTTAATTTTTATAATTATTCATGTATTTACAATTGTTTCTTCAATTTTTTTTTTAAAAAAAAACACTATTGCCTCTCTCATTAGAGGGAGTGCAATTTATATGTTGTCAATTCTAAATACTAAAGAAGTATTTGAAAAAAGACGCAGCAATTTTTTTAAAAAAAGGGTAAGTTAATTAAAATTTTTAATAAAATAACATAATAATTGATATATTTATATATAATTTTTTTTATGGTTTTTAAAAAATAAAATCAAAATCACACCATAAAATATCAATTCTTTAACCGATTTAATTTGGATTGCGGTTCGATTTAACGCAATTACCCTTGAGTCTTGGCGTAATGTTTTGCAAATTAATTTTTTGTCTATTTATTATTTTAGAAAACTGATTTAATCGATTATACGATTCCCATTAAAGATTTTTAAAAGAAGAAGAAAAGGTAAAGCAATCTCTATCATATAGTTCAACACTATACAATACTTTTAGTTTATTGGAAGTTATATACTCCATATTTCCTATAAATAATAGAATATACGTTAAGCAATTTTGTGATGATAAAAATCAATTATATGGTATAAAAATATCAACATGTTATTTAGAGTAATATTATTGTGATTAAAAAAAATGATTTAGGATTGATATAATCTAAAGAACTATTTATACCATACATTATTTTACCTAATTTAGTAAAGCAACTCGATTGATATAGTGTGTAAGAAAAATATTAAATTTGTCATATTGAAACTGGTAATTTTAATATTATTTATGATGAGATTAATTATACTTAAATTATTTCTTATCCGGTGTTTAATTTAATGTATTCAAGCATAATTCTGTCTTTAATCATATTTATTCATCTATTACTAAATAAAAAACATGGTAATTCTAATACCATGAGGTGCTATGTTTAGTTTTACACCATATAATACTTAAAAAAGATTTATAACTAATATTATGCATTGAAAATACTACTAAACTAGATATTGATTAATATCGATCAAGGTAATATGGAAAATATATTCATACAATTAAGTTACCTTTGAGGTAATTATAGGTAAAACTATATAATTAAGTATTAAATAATGACTACTTAAAATGGTACAATTAACATATTATTACTTGTTAAACTAAGTAAAGTATAACGTAAAAATCGTTAAGTTGATCCATATAACTTAATTACATATTATAAAATGGAAAGTGAGATACCTCATTATAATTCGATTGATCCTCACGTTAAAATTGGGATTTAATTTGTTTTGTTTCCATTTTCGACTATAAAAATTTCACTAAATAAATACTTCAAATAAATCATTTGTAAGAACTCAACTTAAAAATTATCATCTTCCACAAGTCTTGAAAGAAAACACAAAATCAAACAATACAAAAAATGACTTCTTCCCATTTTTTCTTTCATTTCCTTTCTTTGTTTGTCATTTTCTTGATAATCATTAAGGTTTCTCAAGTTCATGGTAATGGTTCAGTGTTTAATGTTCAAGATTTTGGTGCTAGTCCTAATGGGAAGACTGATAGTAGTCAGGTAAAATCGCAATCGTCGAAATTAGTAATCTAGAAAAATATGACAGACAAACTGCTATAACATGTTACAATATACTAATAATGTATAGAGTGGTAAAATTACCATTGTCCACAAAATAGTTATCGATTCATTTTTGGTGAATAATTACATTGCGTAGATAAATAACTTCTTTCAATGTATATGTCTCCTCACTTTTTACCTTTTCTTGTTAATATACATAGAATATACACTCATTATACATATATTATACATCCGTCGATTATTGTTATCGTTATTTCTCAAGTCTTTTTGTTTCTTTGTAGGCATTTTTGAAGGCATGGGGCCAAGCATGTCAAAACAATGGAGGAGGCACAGTCCTTATTCCAATAGGAACTTTTTTGTTGAATACATTAACATTTAATGGGCCATGCAAAGGCCCAATGTTTTTTAACATTAACGGACTTTTAAAAGCTCCTTTGGGGAAAGTCAAAGATGATTATTGGATATTATTTGAACATATTGATGGGCTGACTATTAATGGACAAGGTTCGTTAGATGGTCAAGGCCCATCTGCATGGTCCATGTATAATGATAACGGCCCAAATCCTCCTTCGGTAAAAAAAATAATATTTTTATTGCATATTAAATATTTTCTTCCCTTCTAATTGTTTATTTTGCGTACTAAATACAAAAATAAAATCACAAATAAAAAGATTAAAAAGGGAGAAAAATATAACCTCCTCCGTCTAGTTTATCAACACGACTGAAGTATACATTATCTATATACTTTAATTGTATATGCTGTATATATGTGTATATAGTATGTATACTATATTTTTATAATTATGTATTTAAGTATATACTACCTATTCACTATGTACATATTTTTTTTGACAAAATTTTCCAAAAGATAGTGAGTTGTAATATTTTATATAAAAAAATTATAATATCTTAATATTGGAATTAAATAGAGATTTCAAATGTAACTAATGGAATTACTATTATAGTCATTACTAGAAACATAAAAATTTTCCGTTGTGAATCAATGTAAATTTTATGCTATAATATATGATTTTCAATGAGAAAATGTAGGGTGGTAAACAAATTCTCATTGAAATACAATTTTTTTTCCTTGTGTTTCAATCAAAACATTTGTATAGTTGCTATTAACTAATGGTTTTTATAACATTGTATCATGGACTAATGACATTTTATTTTCTTGTATATTATAAACAGTCGATAAAATTCAACAGCATAAGCAATGGTTTTCTACAAGGCATAACATCAATCAACAGCAAGTTCTTCCACTTCCAAATTAATAAAAGCCAAGGAGTTCATTTTCAGAACATGACCATAATAGCGCCAGGCGAAAGCCCAAATACTGACGGGATTCATATAGGCGGCTCCAACGATATAATTATTAACAAAGTAAATATTTCAACAGGAGATGATTGTGTTTCAATTGGGCCTGGTACTTCTAATGTTCATATTTCTGAGGTTAATTGTGGGCCTGGACATGGCATTAGCATTGGAAGTTTAGGAAAATACCAAAATGAAGGTGATGTGAATGGAGTTATTGTGACAAATTGTAATATTGGGAAAACTCAAAATGGTCTAAGGATAAAGAGTTGGGCACCTTCACCTCCTAGCAAAGTTTTCAATGTCACTTTTGTTGATATTAATGTGAATTATGTTGAAAATCCTATCATCATTGATCAACACTATTGTCCTCACTCTTCTTGTAAAAGTCAGGTACGTAATTTATGTGACACGTTTTCATTTTTCAAATTTTATTTAACTCATCATTTTATTCTTATTGAGAAGATCTACTACCACATAGATATTTACAACTTGTTTTACATTATAAACTTTAAAAATAATTTCTTTTCTCTCTTTTGTATCGTCTAGTCAAATATTGCTACGTGATCACTAGAACTTTCAATAACAAACAAGTTTTATATATAGATTCTATAACAATCAAAGTTTTTTTTTCTTAAAAAAAAATAACTTTCATATTATGTTATGTTATATTATATATTTTATCCGAATCAGACCCCAAAATGAACACTTTTTTGAGCATCACATTCCTAAATAGATAAAAATGAAAACTTTGCCCAAAATGAACTCTCCTTTTTGTTTCACTTCATCAAAATAAAATACAAAACGACTTTGTTATAGAAAGATTTAAAAATATACTTTATCAAATGTATAGATAGCTAGTGGTTAAAAACCTAAGCATTTGAACATTTATTGCTGGTAAAATGCATTTTTTTTTGTTTGTATATTAATTATATATATTTGTATACAGGGCGAATCACAAGTGCAGATTTCAGATGTAAAATTCATAAATGTAAAAGGAACTTCAGCATCAAAAGAGGCAGTAGTGTTTGATTGTAGCAAAAGTGTACCATGTCAAGGGATTGAGCTAAGGGGTTTGCAATTAACTTTGGATGGCCAACAGAGTACATCTGCAACTTGTGAAAATGCAAATATGAAATTTAATGGACCACAAATTCCTTCTCAATGTAGTTGATTATTCTTATAACCAACTTTTCTACTAGTAATATTTAGAGGTTGATAGATAAGTGAGTGTGAATCCGAATTTAATCTGGCTATCGAGGACACATTGGAAGCTAGGATATAGTAGTAGTTGTATTTTGGATTCTAATTCCATCAACAAACCCTTTTAATTGCCAGTTATAATGTCTAAGGAAATGAAATATGATTTGACCTTTGGTAATTTCTTTGTGTCTCTTAATTGTACTATTATTTGAAGTAGCTAGTCATTTTTGTTTTATCTTGTTTCTCTTTTTGATTTAATTTATATACATCGTCAACATAAATATTTTAAACTTATGTAATAAATCAAAGAATATATGTATAATAAGTCTCATTAACAAGTGGAATTTATAACGTGATTTTTTGATGTAAAAATTACTTACATGATGTAGATAATATATATACTCCTTTTAAAATATGGAGTATAGTTGTAATGCATTACTTCAAAGAACAAACTGGACTTCGAGCCCGTTTTGGATGAGATTAAAAAAAGTAACTTTTAAAAAATATTTTGTAAGTGTTGAAACTTATTTTTAAAATAAGAAGTTATGTGTTTGGATAATAATAATAATAATAAATAAAATAACAATAACAACAATAATAATAATAATAAAAAAATAACAATAATAATAATAATAAATAATAATAATAATATAATATTTATAATAATATTTTTTATCAGCATCCTTTGGATATATATAATATTTTTTTTCAAAATAGTGATAACAACTAATAAGTCAATTTATTCTCCATGTGTAAAAAGATATTATTCTTTAATGGTGTATATACTCTATATATACTATGTGTTATTAAAAAGCATTTATTCTTTAGCAGGATTTTGATAATAAGTTTTAAATATTTTTCCTTTTACCGTTTTCTTAAATTTATGAGGTAAGAGTGAAGATGTGTTATGTTCGGTGATATTTGCAAAAAGAGACAATGGAGCACTTTTTGAACTTGAATTGAAGATAGAGTTGGAAAATAAGATATAAATCATTTTCAATTTTTGAAAATGAACGGAATTTGAATTTTTTTTATAATGAAATACTAATTTAAAATATAAAGTAAGAAAATATTATGAAAAAAAAAAAGAATAATACTCCATTACCGAATGAGTTCTAACTATTTTCTTTGGGGTTTTCATTCGTTTGATATGCACATTAGAACATAACTAAAATTTAAATTCGCGCTGGAAAGCCTCACTTGAAGAGATAAACCGCTCCAAACAAAGACGACTCCGTACCAAAAAGACTCAAAAACCCATAACTTCTTTGATTAATGAAAGAGTTGTTACCCATTATTAAAAGGCCTTCAAAGTGCCCAAAAGTAACAACTTCCCTAGGTTAACTTTGATCACATTAACATTCAATTAATCAACTAAGTAAATTAGTAGATCTCAAGTATTACAGGAGTTTGAAAAGTGAGTTATTATTATAATTATTATAATTACTTTACTATATAATGTATAAACATAAGTATTATGAATTCAATGATTATTAACATCCTTTTGTCACGAGAGTCTCGTGTGATGAAACTGGCATTTTGTGTTGAGCCCTACATCTTCAACTTGTTCATACCTTCAAGAGTTGCCGCTTTCGAGTTTGAAAAATAAATAAAAGGCACATCAATTTTCTTAAATTAATGCGAGAGAGTTGCTTAAGTGATAAATATTTTGCGCCTTTAATTCCAAGATTGTTAGTTCGAATCAGTAATAAGGCAACATAAAAATCTCTTAGGAACGAATAAAAAAAACTATTCATATAATAAATATACGAGAAATGAAATTTGTTTGACTAGTACTCTAAATAATGCTAGAGAATATGACGTTTTGCACACCCTTAATGTGTGTTTTAATTTGTGATTTTCACTTTATCCTACCTTTTTTATTTTATTTTTATGATGATTTGTAATTTTTTGTAAAACAATAAAGAATTATAAAGTTATCGATCCATTTTGAGCAACTATAGATGAGGAAAGGAGCTTTCGATATTTTCTCTGTGGCTAAGCAAATTCTCTTAGCTAAACAAAGTTAGGTGATTGATAGTTTGGTTATGACAAAAAAAAAAGAGAAGAAGTTAGGGTGCAAATCACACATGTAGGAAAAAATAGAATATGATGTAAATTGCACAATAAACATATATTAAGGCCCTTGAATGAGCTTATAAAAAATAATTTATAAGTCGAATGTTAAAAGTCAAAAATAGATGATGTCCTATTTTTGACTTATTTTAACTTCTTTAGCTAAAAGTCGGTGCTGAAAATCAATGGGCAAAAACTTATCTGCACCTTGTGCTTGTATCAAACTATTTCAATTTTCATTTTTATGCGATTTAATAAAATAAAATGCATGTTATGCTAATTAATTAAAGTTAAGTAAAATGAACATATTTAAACACATGACATGAATTGATGTACACACTCGATGCGAATAAGTTTTACCCCTTTATAATCTTTTCAAACTCCTTTAAAAAAAACTACATAAGATTTAAAAACACTAAAAATAAATAATCTAATTGTACTAAATATATAAGGTTAAAATAAGTTAATCTGAATTGCACTAGAAATATAAGGTTGAAATTAGTTAATATAAACTGCACTAGATATGTAAAATTGAAATAAGCGAATTGGTACTATTTTAACTTCATAAAGTATACGGGAATACTCTTGTTTTTTTTACAAATATTTATTTTATATTAGAAGTACTTTGATTATGTTTTTTTTTAAAAATACTAAAATAAATATGTTGAATTTATTAGTAGAGATCTTATCTTAACTTTAACACCATGGTTTTAGATTTTTAATTATGTTTTTTAATAAGTGGGTGACCACAATTTGTAAAATGCACAAAAGTCAACTAATGAAATTAATGTCCCAATATTATAAAATGAAGATATTACTACTATAAATGAAATTAATGTCCCAATATCACTTTCCTCTTCACCTATTTTACTTTATTTATTGCTCAAAATGTTACTCACTTAATAACGTGCAGTGTTAATCTTTATAAATCTTCCATACTTATAATTATGCTAAGACGAAAAGACCTTCCGTTTATGGTACCAAATCAAGAATAAAAATTACTATATATTATTTGACCTCTTAGATTTATGATATATTTTTAAAAATATTTTTAAGTAAAGGTTGTTTTTAAATTAATCTTATTGATTAATATTTTAGAAATTTAAATTTGATTGTCATAATTATTTTGTATAGTCATTTAATATTAAGATTGTGTTTGAATATATATGTATATAGAGTCAAGACTGTAAATATGCATTTGGATGTGCACTTTGAAATCTAAATACTCCAAAAAGTAAATATGGTTTGATTATTTCCTATTAGTCTTACAAATTTTTAATATTCTATATTTTTGTGCATCAGATTATATCAAATTAATATTCTCGTGTATTAGATTACTGTTCATGTAAATGTACATTAGATTAGTAGCGTAACATGTATAAAATGTAATTTATTTTACTTAATGATCAATATTTCTCGCGCATCAAATTAATGTATCAGCGTTTATATTATTGTATTAATTTAAGAAATTTCTGTAATTATAAGAAAAATAATTTTACTTTAAAAACATGTGATTTATATCCTTTGCCAAAAAAATATTTTGTTAGTAATATTATTGGCTGATGCATCTTTATAAAATTTATTGTATTTATTTAAAGAAAACACACACATATATATATATGTATATATATTTGTGAATTATGATTTGCTTTCTTTGATAAATTATTTTTTTATAGTTCTCACAGATCATAAAATTTTATATTTTGAAGAAAAATACAATTTAAATTACACTGATGTCAAAACAAAATTTTATTTTTCAAGTAATGATTTTATATTCATATTCTAATGGGAACCCAAAGGTAATACGAAAAAAAAAAAGGAAAAACCTTTTGTGATGTGCTAACAAGTAAAACAAAATATTTATTTTACTTATAGGATGAAGAAAAATAAAACGGAAGGAGTAATTAAATGAAATTAGCCCGTAATCATACTTGCCCTTTTCATTTATATTTTTTTAAGAAGAGATAAAATTATATTAATCATTTTCAAAATCTTAAATTTTTCTTGTTTTTTTCCTCTCCTCTTCCATCTCTTCTTCTCCAAATTCACGTTCGTTACTTTTTCTTCCATTTTACAAAACCCAAACCCTAACATCAATTCCCCCTCTCTCTCTACTCTCTCTCTCTCTCTCTTTCTGTTGAAGGAGCTGAAAGAAAGAATGTCAGGTTCATGGAGCAAACTCCAAAAAGCGCTTTCATTTAGGCAACCTAAATCTCCTCCAGAAAATGCATCCTCCGATGCCAAATCGCCACCGTCTACTCGGCCGTCCTCCGCCGCATCTTCATCCACTTTCTCCCGTTTATCCAGAAGTTTCAGTAGTACCTCCCGATCCTCTAAGGTTCGTTTTCTTTTCGGAATTTTTTTCTGTTTTTTCGGTTGTAATTTCTTGATTTTGGTTTCGCCGGCGTGTTTGGTTTGCTATCTATGTGATTCGACCGGACCGGAAGTCGGTTGCGTTTTCAATTTTCATCACCGGTGATGACAGCTGTTATCTTACCATCGCGAACGGTGAGCAGAAATTTCTGGTTTGCCAAAAATGGAATAGGAGGAGAATTTTTCTGGACGAAAATACCTACCTGTTTTTGCTAAATTTACGGTTTCTCACGTTATTTGGGGATCTGTAACAAGGGTAATATTGGAAATTCACTTTTTAATTTATCACGTTTGTTTGGCTTGATCTTAATCAGTGATTAAACTAATGGAAATTCAGCTTTACAAGGTTTTAGATGACGAAATGTATGTGTAAATTACTATACTGTCCTCTACTTTGGTATCAACGCCTTCTTCTGGAGGTCAAAAAGGTAATTTTCACAAGCTGAAAAAGATTACATTTCTTGGCTTTCCGTGCAGGGCCTTTTTTTCTAAAGTTTTGACTTTTTGAAAAATACCTTTTTC